TTCCCTTTCTTCCTTGATGATTTTTGTAAGCCTAGAACCTGAAGAAAAGGTACCTGACCATCTGCAAAAGGCAGCTGGAAATGTTGTTTTCAAGGTTGCTAAGGCAACCAGAGGATCTGTGGGAGAGCTATTCAGCCATCATGAAGTATTTCTATATGTGTGCTAGTTCTCATGATTAAATGTAACCGAAAGCACCAGCTTTTTTCTTACTATTTAGGTTTACTTTACGCCTCAGATTCAGAATTGTAGAGCTCTTGTGTTTTATTTTAGGTGGAAAACCAAAGTATTTCTCTGCTGCCTTCTGTTAAACTTGCTTCAAAAGATTCTGATATGCTGGCAAAAGACATGATTTGTAAACGTCCATTCAAGCTGTACAAAATCACAATGCAGTGAATATGATGCGAAACTGTCATTGACTGCATCCCACAGAATGAGGAGCTCTGACCGGAACTTGAATCACAGAATGATTAAGATTGGAAGGGACATCTGGAAGCCTCTCATCAATCATCTGATCAAAGCACGACTAACTTCAAAGCTAGATGAGGCTGCCCAGGGCCTCGTCCAGTTGAGTTTTGACTTTGTCAAAGAATGGAGAATTCACCATCTGCCTGTGTACCTGTTTCAGTGCTTAACTAGTATATTAACTTAAAAAAGCAACAGAACCCAAAATACCAAACAAAAAACCACACGAGAAAAACAGAATCATTGAGGGAAGGGAAAAGGTTTCTCCTCTTATTCAGCACCAGTGAGGTCACATTTGACATACTCTGCCCAGGTTTGGGCCTCCAGGACAAGAGAGATGACAACAAACTGAAGAAGGGCCGCTAAGGTGATTAGAGGGTCAGAGCACAGGCTTGGGAAGCTGAGGGAACTGGGTTTGTTTTGTCCTGATAAGGGAGGACTGAGGAGGATCTAATTGCTGCCCTCTGTTACCCAAATTCTCTGTTAAAAATTACTGCTTTCTGAGATGCTGACTTTAATGAAGAGAACTAATTTAAAATTTGGGTAGCTTAAATGAAATGTGAATAGCTAGAATTACCTATAAAAAAAAGAAGTTAAGGCACAATTTCAACTGTACCCAGTCACACAAATAGTCAGTCACATTAGGTCCTACGGACCTCACAAATACAAATTAAATTTTCATCTTTATCCAAGAATACAAAAAACCCCCACCCATGAAAAGCTAGAGAGATAGTCTTTATATTATTAGCATATGGCAGCAGAAAATTTACCTTATTGTAGTTGTTGATATGTCTTTCCCAATTAAAAAATGGTGTTTTCCTTCCGAGATCTGCTGAGCCCACGGTGGGTGAAGCCATACTACTTGAGAAATATGGCCAGCATAAACAGCAGGCATAATCCAGTTCTCAATACTTAATTCACTGTAATGAATGGAGAAAGGCTGGAGATAACACTGTTACTTTCCCTGTAAGTAAAACATTGTCAAGAACACAACAAACATCTTCCACATTTTGAAAGCCCCCATGTAAATCATCTGAAATTAGTACTCTGTGTAAGGTTCACATCATCAAAGAAAGAAAAAGAGGGAAATCTTTATTCATAAGACAGACCACAAATGTCTACAGTAGAAATTAAAAAGTTAGGATTATAGAGTGCAATCAGCTTCACTCTTAGTACGGCACTTCGATTATGAACTACATGGATTTGTTGTCCTTTTTCTCTTGATACATCACACAGAGGAAAGTACAAGGACCATCATCAACACTGTTCTAAATAACTTCAACTGACCTTAAGGAGTATTTTATTGTAAAGTGCTCTAAGTAGATTTTAAATACAATCTCAATAATACAATCTCAATAATTAAAGTGAGTCAATCAGCACCGACAGAATAGCAACTTTCCTGATTATCAACACCCTATTTTTTTAGCTGTATGATATAACCCACAAAACTTCTTATTCATCCAACAAAGAAAATAAAATATGGACTACGGGTAGCATGATACAATTACTTACACGCCAATTACATTATCTTCTCATTGCTGTAAATCACCGTAACACTGAAGCAATCGATACTTATTTTAAGACAGGAAAAGAAAGACAATAGCAAAGATCACTCTGTGGCTTGTTACCTACCTAAGAAATTTGGGAAGAATATTGGTCATAATGATCTTAATAGGAAAATCTTGTTCAACTTCACATATTCACCATGCCAACATAGGAGATGTGATTTCAATCTCAAAGTCAATTTTTCAGTATGAAAAGAGAAAGGCTGTTTTAAAACCACAGCTCTTCAGACATAAAGCATCTACTCAGGGTGCTGTCCTGTAACTCAGAGGAACTAGTTGGCCTAATAACATGATATACTACTGAACAACTAAACACTGTAAGTCTTAAATTGCTTGATATGTGACTTAAATATTCGACAACATTCAAAAAAAACAAACATAACTTTTTCCATCCAAAAAAAAAAAGTTTTCAGCAAAAGTGAAAAGACAGAAGGTACAACTTGAGGCTGACTTACACCTCTTTGTTCATATGTCCTACGCAGTCATACCAATATTCACTGTAAATCAAAGCCAGCGGGAAGCAGACTTAAAGTATTCTGATACAGTATCCAGGACTTACCTAAAAAGAGCTTCTTTGTCAAATACAGTGTCTGCAGGCATATTCACAGGAATAAGAAGGTCTGGATGGGAATCAAGATGAACAAAGCTGATGTTACTGGCAGGAAGATGCTTTGAACCAATGGCACGATAGATGAAAGGCAGCACCTAAAACAACAGAGATAAAAATATTTCCATTGTAACCAGTGAGCTGAAAATGCAATGGCTTTAACAGCAAAACCACTAGTCCCACTCTTATTCCTTTAGAATTTGGGTTAGAGGGAGGAGGAGACGGAAAACAATACAAGGGGAAAACAACTCCAGCAGCAAGACAGCTCATGAACTGTAATCATTATGAGCCCAACAGTTCCGCACATGAGAAGCTGCTGAAGAATCATAGCTTTACTCCCTCTTTCCTTCTTTATCAGAAGTCTTGTTCGCAGAAGCTCTTCTCACTAATCATTCAACTCAATTCCTATTTTTTTTTTAATTTATAATGCCTTTCCTCTTCTGCAGAACATTGTCCCTACATTGCCTTCTCCATGCTATAAAGCTTCCTCACCATGCATGGGTGCTGTGGAGATAAAAACATCTCATTACTTGTGTTTTATAAGAGTGAAAACTGACCCACCATCATTTAAAGTTTAGCTGATCTTTTAACCTATCCCCCTTGAAGAAAGGGCTTAATTCCTAATCTCTACATGATTTAATGGCTGCAATAAAAAGACTACCTTTCTCAACTGCGCAACCTTATCCCCTGCTGAAGGTCTTCAAAGGTGGGAAAACAGGAGATGAGGCAACTCACCAACCTACAGTGTAGTGAACCACTGAAGTGCAATAATGTAGGGTGGCAAAATGAGCAAACTGATGGCTGATTCATGATACCTCTTACACTGAACTGCAGCACATGGAGTCCCTCCCACAGTTACAGGACAGTAACTGCCTTAGCTGCCAGAACAAATCCAGCAAGGACATTTATATAGGGAATGTGAAGACTGTAAAAGGACCCGGCAATAAAAATTACACGATCTCTACATTATAACAGAAACGGAGCTCATTTTTTGGCATAAAACTGATTAAGATGACAAATCCTGTGTACTGCATGGGCATAACCATAAAACGTGACTGACAGCTGAAATTTGGACTGTATTCAATCTGTTTAGTAATAAATTCTTCAGTTTACCCACTACATATGCAATAATATGTATACTACTGTAACAGTAGATAAAAAAAGTTTTAAAATAACAAGGGTTCCCTGATCCATGACTTTTACTTCTTTGGAAAAAGGAAGCCATCCGGCCCACCTGAAAAACCTACAATCTTTGCAATTAACGTTAAAAAGTTCTCCTACTTTGTATTAAGAACAAAATTTCCTTTATACCAACTGTTATTATTAATCAAAGTACGATGCATCTAGTGATGCCTTGCCCTAGAGGAAGATCAGTGTCAGCAAAGGACCATAAAAAGTTTCTGTGAAGTTCTTACACTTTGGGATGAAAGGCCATATATGCTTTATGCAAGATAGACCAATGCATGTACACACATATACTGAAAACACATCGTATATATTTAGTATGAATAGAGTTTGTTAAGTTAATTGAAAACAGAAGTATAGAGAGTAAAACAAAGACAAATCATTAACAGTCATTATCTCAGTACTCCTATCACAGTGATACTCAGTCCCTGGTTACCACTGAAAACCAGCTACCACAGCATCATATATTTCAGTGAGTCTTAGCATAAGTGACCTGCATTAAACTATTTACTTACAAGTTCAGAACATTATTTTCTTTAATAAACTTTATTACACTAAAATTTTCTGTTTGCAAAACACTGATAGAGTTAATATTTTTCACTTTTTCCTCCACAAAGTCTTCATGCCCCCAGCAATCCTCACTAAGTCAGTGGGCTTCTGCACCACTGGGTAAAGAATCTGCTTACTTAGTACTAATGCCTCAGCTTCTGCTACCATAAACAAACCATATGAGAAAACAGAAACAGCAGTTCAAAAGCGACTCCTTCTTCATGCCCTTATTTAATTACTTAACTAAAAAAGAGAGTTCCAAATTTAACATTTCTCATCAAGTGGCAGTCAATCTGCTTGTTAGGATGTGATTTATTTACCAATTTGCCGTTGACATGCCATATACTGTGTAGGGTTGAGTTTCCAAGTACTGCACTAATGCCTAGCTAATTCTAAGAGCAGTGTAACGTAGGTATTATTTCCTTTTAACTGTAGCAACTACGACCCAAAGAAGAAAAAAAGAAGTCGGCAATAATTGCTTAAAAAGATGCCAAAATCCGAGCATTAATTAACTTAATCACTGAACCGGGAAGGAAATTCAGGTCACCTGGGCAATGAGCTTCATTTACGTTTCATTAGTGAAAGAGAGCGCGGGTCGGAGGTCTGTGCACGGCTGTGGAGGCGCGGGCTGCTCCCAGGGACGCGCCGGCAGCGGGTAGAACCCGCTTACATGGCGGGGAGGCGCGTCCTGCCGGGAGGCGGCCGGCGGCTGCACAGGGGTTCCACCGGGCATCTCCCTTCGCTTCCACCTACCAGACCAAGCCTCCACGCCGGGAGGAAGAAAGAAACTAAGCTACTCCCCATGCACCCCCCGAGGGACTCCCCATTCCACGGCCCGGCCCGGCCGCCCAGCGCCGGGCACTCACGTCCTGGTGGTCCTCCA